TGCTCCGTTCCGTTAGACCTCTGTTCTGCCCCTCTTCCTTACTCTTTTACAGACAACTCGCTCTGTGGATGCCTGTGTTGTGTTTCCTTTGTAACTCTGCTGCAGGGCGAGTGTCCTCTCCGTCTTAGCGCCTTGTTTTTTGGAGGAACGGAGCACAAGGTCTAGGTTTCCCAGTCAGCCGGCACTCAGCGGTATGTGTTCCCTGAGAGAAACCTTCTCTTTAAGGCTGGGTTCGGGCCAGCTCCTCAGCTGGACTCTCCCAAGCCAGACCCTGCTCGGCAGACAGGAGCAAATGTCGTTTAAGCTCAGCTGCTGCTGGCACCTTGTGCTTGAGCCAAGCGCTGTTTGTCCTGATGGTCCCTCCGGCTTTCGCTGCAGGCGGCTGTGCCCAGCCCAGCCTGGCCTGGCTTCCCAGCTCGCCCTGTGCCGCAGGCTGCCGGGCTGGGCTGCTCTCCAAACGCAGCCCACAGGCTGCAGGAGAGGAGCAGCAACCTGATTTTGGGTCGGGGAAAGCGGTACTAGTGACCCCTCCTTAAAACCTTGAGAACTCCTAAAATACTGGTAGGTGCAGGAATGTCCCCAGGGGAAGACGTGTGCTGTAGAGGGTTTCAGGGCTCTCTCACAGGCAGTCGTGGGCATCTCTGGGTGCTTATTGTTGGAGCGTGCAAGCCAAGGATGCAGAGGGAGCAGAGCATTTCATCCCATTACAGCGATGCGGTGTGCCTGGGTGCCTGTCGCAGCCTTCACCCCGCGCTGCTCTCCAGTATTTTCTCAGTTCCTGGCTTTGGGGCTGTAGCTGACGTTCATGCGTGGAAAGCTTTGAAGATTTAGAAGGGACAGCTTTTGACTTTGCAGGATGTTCTGAGTATTCTCTATTACCAAAGTACTACGTGCTGACAAAACAGGGAAAAGTCTGCCTGGGGCCAGAGGCAGCACCCGAGCACAGGATGGGTCGTTTGAACAGCTGGTGTCTGTGTTGAGCTGCGATCTGTGGCTGAGCTGTGACTAATCTCTTGGGCAGACCTCTCGGTGTTGATCTCAAATACTTTGAGTGGTTGGAAACCCTCTGCCCCTACTTGCAAGGCACTTTAAAGGTTAGTGAAGATGATCAAAACAGACTTGGAGCCAGAAGGCATGAGTCAGACGCTGCATCCACTCTGTCCAGATGCAAGCTCTGGGGCGAGGGGACCCTTTGACTTAAATCCTGGTCTCTAGCACACCCAGCAGTGCTCAGCTCTTGCAGGTCCAGACGCTGCTGATGGATGTGGACGTGAGTGGCCCCGCTCCCAGCCCCAAGCAACACAGAATGGTGTCCTAAGGGGATGAGGAGGGTGTTAGATTTTGGGAGAAGCCTCACCCTTCTTTGCTTATATGTAATGCTACTGGTGGTTTGATCTCCAAGAAGGTTCGCTGGTGTGTGGCTGCATAGCTGTCGAAGGCTGGGAATCAGCAATTGTTTCTAATAAGATTAACGATAATGTCATTCCTGGGGCTTCTCCTGCCTCCGAGGAGGAGGAGGCGAGTGCCCCAGAGAGCGTGGGGACGGGCGGGAAGGATTGCCCCTAGGAGATGCCCCTCTGCTGGCTGCAGCCTGCCCAGGTTTTGGATGTGGTGGCTGTCTTCTGTAAGCGCTTGGGACATGCTTGGAGAAGCAGGAGCAGCAGTGCGGGTGAGTGGCGGCGTGGCCTCGGGCGGCTGTGCAGCGCGGTGACAGCGCTTCCCTCCGTCTCTCAGAGCCCCTCTGTTCTTGATGCGGTGTGCGCAGAAGATGCAGACTGCCCCGTGGGAAAGCCAGTGGATCGTGGCAACGGTACTGAGTGTTTTGCTACAAAAATCGTTTTAATTCCTCACGCATTGCAAACAGGTCTGCAAAGGTGTCCGAGCACTCCGGCAATGCCCGAGTTCCGTGCTTCTTGTAAGTGTACACAGAAGTGCTCTCCAGGCATTTATTCTTGGGAAAACCTTACGGCAACCTGTCACAGCTGGGCGAGGAGGTGTTGCGGGCACGTGGTGCTGGCACGGCAGATACACGGCTGCTTTGTTGCCGATGTCGGCTGCTGGAATCGAAACCACTGTGCTGCGTGATTGGCAGGTTTTCCTTTTGTAATAAAACCTGCCTTTTATTTTGTGCTGATTAATATTAGCACCCCGTGTGAGTTCAGCTGGAAGAGGATATTTCAGCTCTAGCAGGTCGGTTGCCAAAGCTCTGTGTGCGGGATTGCCCCAGCTCGTGGTGTTCTCACGGGGGGACCGGGTGGCTTCAGCAGCTACGGGTTGGGAGAGCTGCGCTGGGCAGGCGGGCGCTGACAGCAGGAAGCAGCTTCTTGTCTTTGTAAAAACAGCTTCTGTTGTTCAGCCTCAAGGGAAGGTCTCGCAGGGAAGGTGTTGGGTGGGGAAAATGCTGAAGATGATCCCAGCGTTGTCTTTGTGGTTCATGTTTTGAGAAGGCCAGAACAAGCCTGTGGCCAGGACACTATCCCAGGAGGTGAGCTGCAGAGAAGATGTTTCAGAAGGGCATAGCAAATGATATATGTTGTCTCATTTTTAGGGATAAAAACTGGGAAATGTGTGACTTTCAACACCACCCATTCCACCTGTGAGATCTATGGCTGGTGTCCTGTGGAGAACAACACCCTGCCCAGGTAAGGCACAGGGTGACGGGACAGCAGGCACTGAGAGCTTTGGTTCCTTCCCTCTGCTCTGTGAGGGCCATGATCATACTTGCCCGACGGGCAGCCAGGCTCAGGGAGACCTTTGACATTGATGCACTGGTCAGTTAAGCACAGAGAACTTCACGCAAGAGCATTTCTTGCAGCTGTCCGTTGTAGCCAAAGTCCCGGAATTGTGGAAGAGACTGCAGAGCAAGGGGAGTGGGGACGTGCCTTGGCTGCTGTGCAAAATTTGAGTTTGTTGGTGATTGTTTTCCAGGAAACCTCTTCTGGCTGAGGCGGAGAATTTCACTCTTTTTATAAAAAACACCGTCCACTTCACCAAATTTAACTTCTCCAAGTAAGTATGGCGCTCCTCCAGCCTCGTCCCGCCTCTGCGCTGAGTGTGTCTGCCCAGGGCTGCGCAGCGAGGCGTCCGAGAAGCCGTGTGCCACCCAGGACGGGTGGCAGCTGGGGCAGTTACAGCTCGGGATGGTGTGTTCAGGAGAACACCGGTCGCTCCAGTGGCACCTGTGTTTGCAGACGTGAGAGCAATGGGATGGGAACCCCTCACAGAGAGGGACTGGTGTCCGTCTGCTGCCTAGAGCACTGCAGACAGAGCTGGACAAGGCCAGTCATTCCCAAGGTCTCATTTTACCCCAGAGTTTTTTGCATTTTTGTCCCCGCAGAATGGTTTCACAGAGGCCCGGTAAAGGGCCGTGCTGGCCTCGCAGCCCCGGGTGTGCTGACTGTGCTGCCTTGCTCTGTCAGGAGGCACGGCCTGGGGCAGCTGACCTGCCCCCGCTGTCACCCACAGAGTGCAAACTCAAGCTGGGTCATTACATCTCTCAGTGGCGGGAGCTCAGTGCTGGGGAAGACAAGAGAAGCACTGGGGCAGAGGTGGAGGAGAGGATCTGGGAGGGGAAGGACTGTGGCAGGTGCTGTAAAAGATGGTATCTCCATGTGTGGTTCCTCTGGGCCAGTTTCCCTCCAACCGCTCTCCGACTGAGGCTTTAGGAGAGGTGGTGACTGTCTCCTACCAAAGCAGCAGCTTTAGTGGTCCCACTCCAGCTGGAGGGTCTCCTCTTCCGTCTTCCCACACCCCCTGTGACAGCTCCCCCTCTCTCTGTCTCAGGTGCAATGCTTTGCAAACCAACAACCCCACCTATTTCAAGAGCTGCAAATATGATCCTTTCTTCAGCCCCTTCTGCCCTGTCTTCCGTGTCCGTGACATGGTGGAGGCAGCTGGAGAGACCTTTGGAGACCTCGCACTGCTGGTACTTGCTTTTTTAAAAATATGGAAGATGCCTCCAAATTTGTCAAGGATGTGGGCAAGGGGCAGGGGACAGGACTGGCCCCTGAAATGCTAAGGGAATGTGTTATCTGTGGACACCTGAACGGTAAAGAACTCGTCCAGTCTCTGATCCCGTGCTTCTCCTGGAACACAACGTGTTTTGCAGGGGGGGAGCATCGGAGTTCGCATTGAGTGGGACTGTGACCTGGATCGCCCTGCCGCCCAGTGCCAGCCACAGTACTCCTTCAGCCTGCGGGACAGGAGGTACAATTTCAGGTGAGGGTGCTGGGACAGTGGCCATGCGGGCCCGCGGGTTGAGCCCACGGCAGTTGTTTGAGATCTCGGTTTCCCTGATTGATGCTCGGAAAGGAGCGGCAGGGACAGCGGGATGTGGTAGCTCGGCACGGGGTCTGTCAGTACCGGGGCGCCGTGCTAGTCCCCGCACCTCGTAGCTCTGCTCTGTTTGGAGCTGTGCAGGGCATTACCTGCAGGGATATGTGGCTGTCCACACCTGTGCTGACCCTGAACTGGATGCACTGGGAGCTGTGTGCTCCCGGTGACCCAGGCTGGGTGCTGAACGGGTGCCGATGCCCCGCTGCTGGTGCCAAGCTGGTGAGTCGCAGCAGCACGTGCATCGCCGGCATCCCAGCTCGCCGGAGGACACGAGGGGTGCCCAGGACCC